GCCAACTTCACTTACAGCACACGTGCCATACAGCAAATAGGTGGTGCTGTGCCTTGAGAGAACGGAAGCTCTTAGCTTAGAGAAGGGTCAGGGGAGACCTGCCACCTCCCAGCCTGGAAGGGGACATTTAGAGGAGCCAGAGTTGTGTTTCCTGAGGAAGTGAACTAAGGCTGTTGATTTTTTGTGGGTGAAAACGTTCCTAAGTCAGAGGACAGAAACTGGCTGTGTGCCATCAAGAAAGAAAGAGGATGTGTGGCTAAGTGACAGCAAGAGGACTTAAAACTGAATCTGAGAAGTTCCTGCCACCTAGGGTTGTGACACAGAAAACACATGGCCTATGGGACCTGCCGAAACCCCTTCTTTGGAGAATTTTGTTGTTGTTGTTTAGTTTTATTTATGCTTACGAACTGGGGTATAAGTCAGAAGTGTGGTGGGTGAGAGGGTTCACCAGAGACAGAGTGGGGAGCAGAACAGGCAGATGGACGAGGTACACTGCTGAGGGGAGCAGTGGGCGGGGTAGGAGAGATCTGCCACGCCATGTGGGTCAGCTCCCTGGCCAGGGATCAAATTCGTGCTGCAGTGGCTTCCGCAAGCTTCCTAGTGCTGTGCTTTAACCCATTGCGCCACCAGGGAGAGCCCTTCTCTGGAGAATTTCAAGAAGAGGGTGGACAGCTGTACGAGAGGGCATTTCAGCAGAAGTCCTCTGGGCTGTCAGGCTGGTGAGGCCCCACTGTCATTCCCAGGTCATGTTTTTTCGGATGTCATGCTGTGTGGATTGCCGTGAGCAGCGAGGAGGGAGAAGTGCGCTGTGCGCAGCTCAGGGCTGTTAGTTCTGGGCTTAGGCGAGTCTGGGAACCATTTCCCAGAACACACTTTTCGGTCCTCAGGTCAAACCACACTTCCTCTGGCCAGCCCCAGCTGGCCTTTCCAGATGATTGGTGCTCTTTTGACCCTTATTCTTTCTAGAGATAAAAGCATCAGGCGGGCACTGTAGAGGTAGACAGATAATGGCACTACTAGGAATAGACTTCATTGAGCTCTTACTGTGTCCCTGTTACTGTGCAAAACCCTTCACACAGCTCCTTCCACTTACTCTTCCCCAAAGTCCTCTGCAGTAATGCTGTTATTCTAGTTTTGACCTAGAAAGACTGAGGCCTTAAAAGACTAGTGAACAGGGTCCTCTCTGGTGGTGCAGCAGATTAAAGCACTGCATCATGAAGCTCTCCGAAGCCACTGCAGCGAGTTTGATCCCCGGCCAGGGAGGTGACCCACACAGTGTGGCAAACCTCTCCTGACCTGCCCACTGCTCCCCTCAGCAGTGTATTTCAGTAGATCTGCCTGTCTGCTCCCCGCTCTGTTTCTGGTGAAACCTCTCAATACCCCTGCACCTCTGGCATGTACCCCAGCTCTGTATGCATAAATAAATAAATCTTAAAAAAAAAAAAAAAAGTAGTGAACAGGAGGCCAGGATTCCAGCCCTGCCAGAGTGCAGCTGCTGGTGGTCTTCCCACTGACGGGGCTCATGTCCTTCCTCACTCCCACAGAGATAGCCAGTGTGTTACTCAACTCTGAGCCTAGGCTGTTAAAACAAAAAAAAAAAATGGAAAATAATAGCTTTTTCACAGTTTTAGATTATGTTGGTTAAGGGCAGATAAAGCCTGCAGGGCACTATCTGGTACATAGTAGGTGCTTAGTTAACGTCCACTTTCTTGCCTCTGCTTTCCCTCCCCTGCCCTCTCCACCACTCCCGTGTAAGCCGTTTGTCTGGTATGAGTCTTTCCTTTATGATGCCCTGGTTCTAATCAGACTTCTGTCGGTGACAGGCAGGGAAGTTTCGCAGTGCAACGTCCTTCTGACTGATGTCTACTGCTAATTCTTTAAATTTACATATCCTCTTTCTTCCCTTGAGCTCATAGCATTTAACAGACAAGTGGGGCACAAATGATTTAACTAAGTGAAATTCAGAGGCCTGCTTGTCTTGAGATTCTGCAAACTAGTGGATTAGCTCAGATGTCAGCACTGAATTATGATCCTTCAGCGGCTCGTGCTTAGCACGCCACCAGCATTAACTCCCCGGTCTTCCAGTGGCCCCTTAAATCATGCAGAGTGATTATCATCTCGTTGTGCCAGAGAGGGAGGCGAGGAGAGGCTATCTCAGGGCCCTGGGCAAGGTAGCCTGTGAAACCTTTGGCCTATTGTGCCTGATTGTCACAGGCTGTGTGGCTAGGACAGACTCAGACAAAATCCAGGCACTCCGTTCTTTACACCTCCACACACATCTTCCGTACTAAATTCTAACCATTATGCTACGGTTCCCCTGCTGCTTAAGAATGTAAATTCACACAAGTGACAGTATTTCTGCCAAGCAATTTTCAGACAGCAAGTGGGTCTTATTTGTAAAACTGTGAAGGAAGAAGGCTGAATAATAAGTCTCTGAAATCTGGTTTCCTTTTATATGAGGTGGAAACAGTAAGAGCTTGGAAATGACTGGAGCATGAGCTTTTGAAGGGTGCTCACAGTAGCTCAGCAGACTGGGACTTCCACCAGTCACCCTATTACTAGTTCACCTCACCTTTGGAAAGGGCTGTTGGCTCAGGAGACAAAGGGAATTATGGAGAGATTACATGAGGCTTCAGGATTACCAGACTGTTCTCTCTGTGTCCTTTTGTCAATCTATAGACTGGTATAATTCTTTATTCTTATGTTTACTGTTGATTCACGAGAACACAGTTGCCTTGACTAGTGTTGTAGAGATTTTCCTTGATAGTGTTGTCGGGGCAGGGGCAGGGGCAGGAGGAAGAAGTAGTATTACCCCTTACATAGCCGGACTGGGGCAGTCAAATTATTCTGCAAGGCAGTGTGCTTACCTGCTGACACGCATGCAAAATGGCCTCAAGTCTCTGCTATGCCTTCAAATCACACATACACATTGTGAACCAGTGTTACCTACAGTTACAAATAAATAAATAAATACAATTTTTAAAAAGGAGAAAATCTCAAATTGTGATGACAAGAGAGGAAGATAATGTTGAATGTGCTAGAATGGTTAGAACAAGCAAAAGAGGCAGGCCAGGCAGAGTCGGAAGGGAGGTAAGGTTACAGGTAAGAGGAGAAAGGCCACAGGCCCCGTCAGCCAGTTTGCTTTCAATAGTGACATGGGCTGGGGGCAAGGTACAGTGTCAGAGCTGAAATGCTAGTCCCGCTACGTGGACAAGTCCCAGGAAGCTTTCTGGGCCTCAGGGTCTTCATCCTGTGCCAAGTAATATTATTAAGACCTAACTCATAAGCACACCGCAAGGATGAAATGAAGTAATGCGTACCAATGTGCTTTTGCAACCTGTAGAGCATTATACGAATATGACATAATTATTTGTGTTAATTGCAGAAGTAATAAGACCTGATAGGGGAAGCATAGGTTGTGAAGCTCTTTGAGTGTCTTGTTGTGGCACCAGGGTTTCCTCCCTCAGCAGACCCCAACCTTGAAAGTGTCCCCTTTGGGCAGCTGCCTAGTCATCTGTGCTAATTTTGGCCATAAAGAGGTCTCAGGTTGTGGGGTGCAGAACAGACATGCTCTGGACGGTTACAGAGACACAAACTATAACCCCAACTCTGCATCCTGCACTAATCTAGGTTGACTTCAGGGGAAAGTAGTTTCTGAAGCAATAATCCCGGAGACTCCGCATGTAGGGGCTGAGGGGAGCCAGCAAGGAAGGAGCTATTTCCAGGCCACCGGTTGGAGGATTGTCACAGGCCCAGGTCTCATTAGAAAGTTGAGGTCAGAAGGAGAAGCAGCAGTTTATCAGTGGTCCAGAGAGAGCCCTGTAGATCTCTGTTCTGGCTCTTCCCAGTCTTTCCCAGAGAAGCCCTCTTGATTGTCCATGTTGAGTAGGAAATCTGTGCACAGGGTCTCAGATGAACATGATCTGAGGTGTCTGTTGTGCTGGATCCATGGTGCAAAAGTGCCCTTGCCATCTCGCAGAAGTACTCGGCTAAAGATGTTTTGGAACCAGAAAGAGGCAGTGGGATTTCCTCCTTCCATGCCACTGAGCCCTCGTACAAGCTTCCCGAATGGTTCTGCGTGAGTTGGATTTCAGCTGCTGCTACCCATACCTGTGTGGCAAGGCCTGAGGTCTGCCAGCAGCAGTGGAAGCTCAGTCTTCCATGCCACTTCTGATGTATTTGATAGCTAGTCAGCCAGAAGGCCCACTCTCCAAACATTTGGAAGAGTGAAACCTTGATTTCCCGACATGTGTGTGTTCTCTGCTGAACACATAGCGTTGACCAATGATGATGACAACACCTGTTATCACTGGAGCTGTGTTTGTGGGGCTCTTTGAAGAAGGCCAAGTGCAGAGCTCCCTAGGCTCGGCAGAGAAGGGCCTGGTGTGTCAGGCCCCCTGAATCACCCCTCCTTGATCACCACCCCTTGTTCCACTTGAAGTCAGTACTGAGCTTCCGAACTGCAGGCACTGGAGCCCAGGTATCCCTAGTGACCAGGAGGAGACAGAAGGGTTTCAGTATCTTCCATTTGGGACGTGTCCAGTCAAGATGACAAAGGGATCAACCACCTGGCCAGACCCATCCTGTAGCCTAGCAGCCGTCTCAATCGCGATAAACTGTCCCCTTGTAATTCAGTTCATTGGCCCTTTGGGGAAGCCAATGATAAATAACATATGGGTCTGGCCTCTGCAAGGCTAGGAGAAGAGGGGCACAGACAAACCAGTGAAGGCGTAAGGCCAACTGTGCAGGTGGTGTGCAGAGTGTGGTGGGGCAAAAAGGCAGGGTGCCGACTTGACCTAAGTCTCAGAAAGGGCTTCAAGAGGATGCAGCATGGGAATCAAGGCTCCGAAGGAGCCCCAAGAAAGGGCCAGGGCCAGGGCAACCAGGAACCCAATTCTGGTCTAGCTGAGGCCCCCGGAGGAGGCTTCATTTCAAACTAGTGTCTCCACCACGTGTTGACCTGAACCCTTTGGGTTTGTTTCCCCGCCCCCCCACCCCAGATGACCGGAATTTCTTGCGACTGCAGAGCGACGGCGGGAGGGAGGGCCAGTACGGCCGGCTCATCAGCCCCCCGGTGCACCTGCTGCGCAGCCCCGTGTGCATGGAGTTCCAGTACCAGGCCACGGGCGACCGCGGGGTGGCGCTGCAGGTGGTGCGCGAAGCCAGCCGGGAGAGCAAACTCCTGTGGGTGATCCGCGAGGACCAGGGCAACGAGTGGAAGCACGGGCGGATCATCTTGCCCAGCTACGACATGGAGTATCAGGTGCAGTGGTGAGGGGAGAGGGGTGCGGAGATCCCCTTGGAGGGAGTCCTGGTGATCTGTATCTGAACCTTTCAAAGGGCCGTGCCCATTCATCATTAGGAAACGTGGTTAAGCCTGCTGTTTTCATTGTGTTTCTCATGTTGCCATGGCAACTAAATGACACTCTTATTTGTTATTCAGAATGTGCCTATCTCTACACCCAGACTTGGTTCTTTGTTCCTCCTATTACCTATTATATTGCTGAAATCGTCTCCAGCAACTGTTTCTTCTCTTCTTTTTACTTCAGATTGCTATCAGATAGGCTAACAAAGGGACCCCAAAGCCAAGGAAATAAACAAACAAAACCCTCCATCCACAAGGGGAGAGCCCCTCCCACTCTGGAGGAGCAGGGAATAACCTCCCAGACCTGCCCCAGAGAGTGCAAACCCAGGAAAGGGCACTCAATAGCCAACCAGCCAAGTCGCTGAGATGAGGTTTCTCTCCCAGCTCTCCAGGAGTTGCCTTCTATTATCTGCCCCACGTAGAGATACTGAGGCACAGATGGGTATGCACAGCTGTGGCTGAAACTTGGGTAGGAGTAGACGCACTGTGGAAGAGGTGACTGAGAACCAGCCAAAGCATTAACCTGCTCTTCCCCAGACGAGAAGCAGCAACAGATGGCTAGTGAGGCAGCCAACTGCTCGCTCAGCTTGCCAGAGGACATGTGCTAGTTTGCAGAGAGAACCTGGGGAGGGTGAGAATGAGGAATGATTGAAGACCACAGCGTGGCGGGGCTGCTGTGTGCAGTGTGCGGTCACTCCCCAGGTTGTACGGTGTCCTCAGGTCCACCTGCCCCCACCTGTGTGCCCACTTAGGAACCTTAATGCAGTGAACTGTAAGTATCTGTTTGCATTTTTGTCTCACCCATTAGATGGTGAGCTGCTTGGGAAGACAGTCTTGACTTAATGGGTTTTGTAACTGTCCTGTGCCACAGGCACAGAGAGGTGTCCTCTGAACTGTAGTGGAAGGACACATCTTTTCCCTCCCAGTTGTAATAATGGCATCCTAAGACAGTGTTACCCCAAGGCAGGCTGAACCTATACACTGTATTTCTCACCTGATCCCCACCTGCTCATGTGTTCTGTGTTTTCAAATATCTGGATTGAATCATGTGAAAGATTTATGAGAAAGGAGCCTCAAGAGTGGCTAGAGAAACTTCAGCCCTTCTCTAAACACGCCCTGATTGTCATCCTTTTAATCAGTATATTCCAGTTACTGGACAACAATATCCATCACTCAGTTATATATATTTTTTAAATCCCTTCATACATGCTTTTGATTTGAGCTAATTCTTTAAATTAAGACCTCAAGTGCTGTAGCCATGTGGTCAGCAAATGTGGGCCAGGTGCAGTAACAGGCACGCACCTACATGCACACACCGTCCCCCCCCAACACACAGGTATGCACACGCATAGGCACGTATGAGGTTTAAGCTGCAATTAACAGAACATTGGAAACCTTTGCACTGCGTGGGCTGGGAAGCTCAGTTAACCATGGCTCTTGTTCTTCTGATTTCCAGATCGTGTTCGAGGGAGTTATAGGAAAAGGACGTTCGGGAGAAATTGCCATTGATGACATTCGGATAAGCACTGATGTCCCGCTGGAGAATTGTATGGGTACGTGACTGTCTTTCTGTAGTTCTTCCAAAGGAGATACCAGGACTGGGATATACAAGAGGAAGCTGCACATCGTTTCCAACCACAGTTGTCCCCACCCCCACTCCACCCCCGCCAGGGCAGAGACAGCCTGTACGGGAAGGGAGGTTTGTGTATATTTGTATCTAGGCTGCATCCAGAATGGGAGAGGTGTGAGATGGGGCAAAGTCTTCTACCCCTTTCCCATTCAGAAATAGACATGCACTATGTATATGAAGATTCGAGGTGGCAAGACCCCATCATCTGACTTCAGCTTTTAGCAAAGAAAATGCTAGAGGATGAGAGCAACTGCCAGTCAGAATTACATGCTGGAGAGGTTTGGTGGATTTAATGGAAGCCTTTCACTAGTGAGCAAAAATAGTACATATGTTATATCAGAGTGATAGCACAATTACCCAAGTCATTCGTTTATATGAATGAGTTGCAGGGCACAAACTATGGCATATGAAATCAGGTTTTAGATTTTGCTTTAAAGCTAAAACTTCTAATCCCAAAACCCCAGAGAGACTATAAGATTAAATATCACATGCCAGGTGTCCAGTACAGGAAGGACACCATCACTGTCACCTTGGACAGAAGAGATGAGCAGCCAAGCCCCCTCATTCCCCCCGCCCCGAGATGCCCACTGGACCCAGCTCACCCCAGGGGACCCTGACCATTTCCCTTAGATCCATCCACATTCCTGGATCCAGAGGGAACCCGAAGGAGTGAGATCTGCTCTCAGTCACAGTGACTGTAATAACTCACCGGGTGCTTTTCTTGGCACTCTGTCCCGGTGTGCGTGTGCCCGATGATGTCAACAGCACCTGGGACGCCCTCATCCCTTCAGGCAACCCGGGCATCTAAAAGTAATCCAGGCTCTGAGAAAGTAATCAGTGGTAAGTGACTGATTACAGTGCTTCAGGGACCCATTACTCCATAAAGGACTTTTTGTTCCAAAGCAACTTTGAGGATCTCTCTCCACCCACCCGCCCCCCACAATGATGATGTGTTAGACACGGTCTAGAGCATGTGGAGGGCGTGGGACACTTTCCATGGGGCATTACAAGAAAGAAAAAACTTAATGGACATTGTCTTTCTCATACCCTGCGTTTGCGTGTTTCGTTTTTGCCTCCTACAGTAACCCAAAATTTTCTTTTTTTTTTTCCTAGAACCCATCTCAGCTTTTGCAGGTGAGAATTTTAAAGGTAACATATATATATATGTATGTATGTATGTATATATATGATACTTAATTTTTGCATGCCTTTTCCTCCCCCTCCCCATGGGATGTGAGTTTGGTGGTGGGAATAAACCCCTGGACAAATCTCCTGAGAAAATATCAATAGACAACACACGTTCCCGCCACTAGATGGCACCCACAACACCTGCAGATACTGGGAAAAGGGGATTGAGATCCTCACTGTCTCTTGTTTAATTAAAGTTTAGAAACCTATAATAGAGACAAATAGGTTACAGATAAACCTTTCAGCCTTGCATTGTCCAACGGGGAGCAATGAGGCTGAAAATGCGTGAGTGGTGAGAAAGGAGAGGCAGCGGGGAGACTGAACAAAAAAAAAAAAAAAATCAGTAGTAAATTAAAAGTGAAATGAGGTGGCAATGATTTATTTTAGCCTGAAGAGTGTTTCTTTCCAGTTGCAGGGCACCAAGGCAGCAGTCTCAATTAATGCACAGTGAGGTACAGTGGCAGGCAGTTTGGTGAGGAAGAAAATTAGGGGAAAGACAGAAAGAAAGAACAATAATCTTGAGGAGGAGAAGAAAAGTTGCCGCATTTAGGAGCTGGAGTTGCATGAACAGAATAGGAAGTACATTTGATGACTGCAATTAGAGCACTTTTAATACACGACTGGGAAACAGAAGGATACTTTTCTAGCCAATAAAGCAAGTAGAGTGTAGAGAGCAAAAAGTTGGTATGCGTGCCTTACCCAGGGGGTAACGCGGCCCAGCTTGGGGTGATGGTTCCATTTGTGTCCTTAGGTTTGGGTTTTACGTGTTGTTCTCTTTGCAAGCTGGTTACTTGACACTGTGATTGTGTCTCTAATACTGGGTTTCCAAGCCACTCTGTGGCCTTCGATGCACTTGTCCTCAGTATGAAAGCACGCATCCTCTCCCAGCCACAGCCTTTTGTAGCTTATTTTACGCAAATAGTGGTGAGGGTGGCTGTGACTATTATTACTGGCTGCCCCTAACCCATGGTTGACAGCATTTCAGAGATAAGGGAAATCATTTTTATATCTGAAGTCTAGACCGGTTATCGTCACTCTCATTAATCTGTCCAGCTCCTGGCTGGAAAGAGATGAATTCCTGATTTGCCACCTAGATACGCTCTCTGATTCCAAATCATCTTGCCTAATTTGCCACTCAGCACCCACGGCTCTAAGACCGTAGATGAGGAAGAGAGGCTGAGTCAGGAATGACAGACCAGCATCGATTATCTTTTCTTCTTTCTCACCCTTCTTCGCCTCCCTAAACCTATCCCCATGCCCCATTGCCCATTATAAGTATCGAGAGTATTCACATGCCTATGCTGGTACTCTGGGTTTGAGACTGATGTTAATGTGAACCTAAAGTATTAGAAGGAAAGCTGAGATCAAAAACGAATGACTTGGATTGCAGTTGAATTCAGGTTCTAACCTTCAGGATCCAAGGTAATGTTCATGGTGGGGAAGTGACATCTGCTGTGTCGTTGTCGCCTGACTCAGGTTGGTTGTCGAGACTCCAAGCTCCCAGGAAAGGCTGGTTAACGTATGACAGTGCCGCAGACCCTGCTCCGTGTGGGCATGCGTGTCTGGGTCTGTGACTGACAAGTACGGTGGCAAAGTGCTTTGTTTCCATCCCAGAACAAACAAACCAGGGTGCATGTGTTCTCCTTGAGGCTGTGTTTACCGTGAGGCTTCACAGTCCAGTCATGTTCTCTTATAAAATATATATAAATAAAATATCATCTGAGCCACAGTGCTCGTTTAGCCAAAATAAACACAGAGCTCAGTGACTTGAAGGTAAGAATTTTCAGGCGCTCCTAAGGGGCTGGTTGTGGGTTAAGCCAAGGCAATTGGTGAGTGGCATGGACTGGCTGGCTGGTGGTTCTCCTGAGAGGAGCTGGGCATCTTTGGAAGGAGGAAACCAAATCTTGGGGAACAGAGACTTGACCAAGGAATAGAGTCAAAAGTGGGTTCAGAATTGAGAATGGGTGATTTTAATCACATTGGCAGGTTTTCCGTGGAACCCCACGCTGACGGCCACTTGAACCCAGGGAGGCCCAGGGAGTCTGATTTGGGCTAAGGCCCACATGGCCTCAGCGTACAGCACTGTGTTGATTCTCACGAAGCCTTCCCTCTGAGAAAGGAAAGGACCATTTGCTCACTCTAACCTGGGGACTGGCACCCTGTTTCTCTCCTTGACAGTGGCAGCTGTCTCAGTAGGGCTGTGGGTGCCTGGGGATTAAATCAGCCTTTTCATTCAAAAAGAGAAACAAAGAGAAGTCAGGTTTGGGCAAGCAAGAGGTGAAAAGTAAATGGTGAAATACTGCTAGCAATAGGTGTGTGCTTGGTTTGTATGGTTTTTGAATTGGGTTGTTTTTCTTTTCCTTTATACATTAGCCGTGAGCTAGAAGCCAACCCATTCCTTGGGAAAAACTAGATAAAGCTTGAAGGAAAGGCAATAAAATTGGCTTCTGGACCTGGGCTTATTAGGTAGACTTGATCTTTTGTATTTTGAAGTGTCTTTCATTTACTGCTTCTTACTCACTTCTTGCCATGGAACATTTTCTGTTTATTGGAATTGCCATGTGTTTCCGGCTTAGTGTGTCTATTTTGATCGTCGATCAGGGTGTGAGTCAGTAATGAAGAGATACAAGCCATGGGAGAAAAGGAAAGCATAGAGGGGATGAGGAGAAAGGAGAATGAATAAGCGGTGTTGTCATTTGATTTTTAAAAAGACTTTTTTATTGTTGTTATGAGTCACATTTCATACAATGCATCTGTGTGCAAATTCCTTTTTTTTTTTTTTAAGCAGTGGCTGTAAACATAGTGCCGTCATGCATCTTTTTCTAGCATTTGAGCTTTAACAAATGAAAAACTGTGTAAAAGCGAGGAGAAAAAAAGAACCAAAAAGTGGTATAATTAAGGTGATGGATTATTTCCTCTTCACTAATACTCTCTTTTTTCAATAAAAGAAAAAAGAATGGTAAAGAAGCCAGTAAAAATATAGAAAGCCCATAATCACAGTCCCGTGATTGTTGACCAGGTAGCTATTTTTAGCAGCTCACTGTGGAAGCGAGAGTTCTTGTTCTTGTCAGAAGCTGTGGGCTTTGAACAAAGCAGAGCAGAGAGACCGGGTCTGGTGTCCTTCCCGTTAGAGATGCTCGAAAGCCCAGACCAGGGTGTACCTGTGGCAGGCGGGCGGTAATAAAAAAGGAAACATCAGTATCTCCTGCTAGCCATTGTGACCATGGCTTTTATGTCTCAGACTCCTCTTGGGTCCCACTTTCTGCAGCCCACTGAGGTTTTCACCTGGGGAAAGCCAGGAGAAAGTGAACATCAACGGCTGTCTGGCAGGCTCGGGGGAGCAGTCTTGAGAGAGACCTATCGTGGGGTGTTACTGAGCTGGCAGGGTTTGGACTCTGTGCCTTAGGTTTTAAGCTCTGTTTACTTGGTGCCATCTCTGCCATTTCTCACCCCATTTCTCCTTTCCCACCCCTGCCCTCACCTCCCACTTGCTGCCTCCCGAGGCTTTGCCCACCAGTGTGACGTCCTCACCCCAGGCACAAGATCCTTGGTTGGCCCCAGATTCCTTTTCCAAGGTTTCCTGTGTCCCAGAGGCATGCCCGTGCCTCTGTGAGGGTTAAGCGGTGTTCTTGCATGTAATCCCCTCATGAAAGCAGGGAAGTAAGTATTCTTAGGCCTGCCAGGCTCCAGATCGGCCGCTGTGGTGTGTGACTCCTCCTCGCCCCCTCCCTTGGCTCCAGCTGCCAGATTAAGACTAGGTGTTGCTGAGCAGGGAAGCATGGGGATCAGATGCGTGTGAGCTGGCTAACTGCTTGACTGCATTGCTTGCCTAAGGCGACACTGAGGCATTCAGTGAGGTTTGCTGGGGTGTGCTGCCTCCCTACCCCTGAGGCCAGCGCCTCCCCTCAAGTTTACCATTCACCAACACAGCTGCCAACGTCAGTTTCTCTAAGAATTATTTTTCTTTTCACCGACTTTTGCTCTCTTCAAGAATAGAAGGGGCAAACTTTAGTTAAAGGAAAGTCATATAAGCGTCTCCAGAGAGATGTGAGACGTCTGAGACTTCAGCAGCCACAGATCTGAATCTAGAGGCATTTTCAAGACATAGGGGGATTCAACACCGTTGCTGCCAGCCCCTCGGAACCCTCCAGTGACCCCCGACCATTGTTGGAAGGCAAATCGAAAGTCATTTCTCAGGGATATTTTCCACTTTACATTCCTTTTCCAGACAGATCAGTGGGCGTGACCACATTCTTCTCTTAGCTTCTGTAAACTTTCCAGAGGAGCCAACCTTTTTCTGTTGTCCGTTTAATCTCACAAATTAAATAAATCTTTTATCTGAACTGCCTCTTCACTAGCACTTCATTTTCAACCTGTAACAGAAGACTGCAGACGGGCCAGGCCTCAAGCAGTTCTTATTTACAATGAGCTTTTTCCCCCCTTTTCTTCTGAAACCACCACTGGGATCTTGCAAAACATTTCCATTGGAAACCGGGATGATGTCCAGAGAATGGTTCAGAAACTTAACTGTAGGAGATGCTTACCCTTCAGTGATTCAGTGAGAACCTCACTCAACACCGTCCTCAAGCAGAAGTAAGAGCCCAAAGGGGAGAGGGCTGCTTCAGGCTCCATCGCACTTGATCAGGACTGGGCGTCTGCCCAGCTAATAAACCGACCGGCGGGGCAGACTGCGTCCCAAGCCTTGGGTTTCCCGGGTTGCTGCACAAGCAGCGTTGTGGACTGTTTAATGTGTGTACTGGCCTCAATTGCTCCACGACCTCCGGATCTGACCTCGACACTGACAGTGGAGCAAGAGTCACAGAAGGCGAAACGTCACTGACAGCGGAGCGAGCGTCACAGAAGGCGAAACGTCACTGACAGCGGAGCGAGCGTCACCAACATTGAGTGAATGTGCCCGAGGCTTCCCGACCAGCTCTGTGTTTCACGATGTGCTGCTCACCCTACAATTCGGTTTTCCTCCACATTAAACCAGGAGAAAAATCACTTTTCCTCTGAGGTTCAACTGTCTCCCATCTAATGGTCCAAAGGAATAAAGAAGATGCTTCACCAGAAGCCCAGTGTGCCTGGCATGGCCAGTGTTCCCTCCCTGAGTCTGTTTATGGGCACATCTCCCCGTTGCTTAGTAATTCAGCGGCCCGCTTGACCCACTGGGCATGGATGGAACATTGCCCACAGTGCAATTTTTTCCTTGTTTTTCTCCCTTGCATGGCTTGGAATTTAGTGTCTCTAAAAATCTTAATTCTTTGTGTTTTTTCATTGCCCCTTTCTCTAGGGGGCTCAGAATTTTTACAGATGGGAGTCTGCCCAACCTTGCAAATACACTTGGAGTTATTGACTATTTACATACCTGTTTCTCATGATCTCACACAATGAGAAAACTGGAGAGTTAGGGAATGGAAACTAGTGAAAAATAGTTCAGGGGTTGACAAGCACTTTCCTGTTGAAAATAAAAGTGGAGAAGTCAAGAAATCAGTGGGCCCAGTCAGGCCAGCACATCCCCTGTTCTGGGTGAGGTTGGCCCCTGTCATGTTGGGGGAACCATAAGGCAAAGAGCTGGCCATCCCAGGTGACTGAGTGGGGCTAAACTAGAGCCACTCACCAGCCTGGGCACCTGGTGAAGGTAACATCTGCTCAGCGCAGACACTGTTTTGCAATCTCATGTGGAGGCAAAGTATGAACTGGCAGGATCTCAAGCAATTTCCTAGGAAAACTGTTCTGTAAGGTACCATTAAGTCATTGGCATTTTTCAAGGACTCTGAACGTTGGTCCAAAACCCATCCATCCATATGACATTCGTGGGCTCACTTCTGTTAACTGGGAAGGTGCTGTGAAAGGGGATTTAGCCTCGACTGATCTAGCGCCTTTTTCTCTCACTGATAAGCCACAGCCTTATTCGCATATGGCCCTTGAAGGTTGCCACAGAGCAGATTCCACAGCAGCTAGCCACCTGTCTGAGAAACACGGCTCCCCAACCGTGGGTCACTCAAAATTTGCTCACGAGGAATGAGGTTGCTAGGTATATCCTCTTTTCAAAATCTTTTAACATTAGAAGCACAATCTCACCTATAGGTTTTCTCATTCCCCCGCACAGTTTCCTAAGGAAAATACTTAAGGGCTGATATAATGCCTCCCCAGATGTCTTCTGGGTCTTTTTTTTGAAAAGATTTATTTATGCATACAAGAACTGGGGTACAGTCCAGAGGTGCAGGATTGTGAGAGGATTCACAAGAGACAGAGTGAGGAGCAGAATAGGCAGATCAAGTGAAATACACTGCTGAGGGGAGCAGCAGGCGGGTCAGGAGAGGTCTGCCTTGCCATGTGGGTCACCTCCCTGCCTGGGCATCAAACTGGCACTGCAGTGGCTGCAGAGAGCTTCACCATGCTGCACTTTAACCTGTTGTGCCACCAGGAAGTGCCCACTTCTGGGTCCTATATCCAAAGTGGAGTGTGTGTTCAGAGTGGAGCTGAAGTCTGAGGCCAGGGGTCTGTGGAGCCCACATGTGGTGTTACCTCCTTGAGGTGACACTTGGGCCCCTCCTCAGTGTGCCCAACTTTTGGTCTCTTTCATAAAAAGGTAGCATTAAGGGCTCAGCCTCCAAGCTCTGGTACTCGGAGTGCTGGGTGGTGTGCCGACCATGAAAGACAGCGTTCAGGCCAAAGGGACGCCGACCTCTGAGCTGTAGCAGTGGTGATGGAGGGAAGGAAGGGGCCCGTCATGCGTTTCCTGCTTGACCCAAATTCATGCTCCCGCCTTTGTGGTCTGGTCAGGTGCTTTGGAAGGGGAGTTCACTCCTATGGGTTTCTGGCCTTTCTTTCTCTCACGAGTGATTTGCAGCCTCATTAGAGGGTGACCTGTCAGTGGCGCCAAGCCGAATTCAGAGCAAACCAGAGGACGCCTTTGGGGAGAGGTGCCATGGAGGAACTTCAGGCTGCCCCTGCATACTTTGTTGTTTCTCGAGCATTCTTGTGAGCCTGCATGAAACTCTAACAGCAGGATGGTTGCCAGGCAGCAGATACTCTTGGTGACCTGAATAATGAGTTGACACTAGTTCACCGTGACTCGCAAGCTGGCCATTTCAAGGAGCCGTGCTCAATGCCTTGCTTTCTCTTTCAGTTTCTAGGTATAATTTTCAAAATGGTCACCAAAAAAAAAAAGAAAAAGGAGTATGAGTGCTTTCTCAGCTACAGTAATGACATGATTAAGAGATAGAGCTGGTTTTGGGGAAAAGATAAATTGAGTAGGAGGTAACAAAGAGGAGAATGTTGAATGGGGCAGGGTAGGGACTGGGATTCTGGAACCCTTTCCTCCTGGGGCAGAGGACGTGCCTGCCAAGATACAAGGGGAGCGGTATGTCGTTGTCAAAGCTGGCCCACTGCTGCGGCTTGATGCACCCCAGCCCAAGGGGAGCGCCAGCCTAGGGGAAGCAGTGATGGAGTGCTAGGAAGGGGGGCAGCTCTAAAGGATTTCCCAGGAAAATGCTCTCATTTTTCTACCACCCCTGAGAAAACATCAGAAGGGATGACACCCCCCTTTCCTCTCTTAAGACACGCACACACACACACACGTGCACACTCATCAAAGAGCAGAGTTCTGGTGTTTCAAATGCTTTCTTAGAAGCAGGCATCTTCCCTTCAGCTCTTTCATCCCAAGATTTTATTGAGTGCCTTCTTTGTGCATCCCCTTAGGTAGAAACCAAGATGAGAGGGAGCTCTGCTTGGGGAACTCCGAGCCTCTTGGGGGAGAGGGGGTGGGGTGGGGCATGAAAATCTCAATGAGCCCGTCTGTGTCTTGCACAGAGTGAGACCAGCAGTGTGCGCAGCAGGCAGCTGCCCTCCCCCCCCCCATGGGTCCCCTCCTGGGGCATCCCAGGAATAGAGAGGATACATCTTTCTGGCCACCACCACTTGATGTAGCAGCTAGGGAGGAATTTTTCATGGGTTAAGCATACATCATTTTTCAGAAGTAAAGATCATGTCTGGTTTTGGCAAGCTCAAAAGCTCCTAGTCCCATTCTGGGCCAGATTCTCATCTGATGTAAATCTTTGGGAGAATCAAGTTGTAGCGCTGTTTTGCATCAAGTGGGACGCTAGCCAGTCTTTCCCCAGAGTTACCCTGGGCTTAAATCTACAACATCATCTCCATGGCAACCAGAGGCCAGCCAGAGAATGTGGTTGCCTTCTAAATCCTCTGCTAGCTTCTCTTCCCTCCTGTCTTTTCCATGATTAAGAATGATCTCCCTCCCACCCCCCCTCCCATTGCTCTCACACACTCACTCACTCTCGCTCTCAAATTACTATCACTATCATTTTGCGCCCACGTTTTTTGTTGCAGGGTCCCATCAAACCTGCTTTTAAAATCCTCTACCCAATTAAAAAAATGAAGATGAGTTAGTCATGACTTGACAGTGGTAACTGACCTGTTTAGACAAGACCCGGCTGATTTCATTGGGCACAGAAGCCTTGGCAAGACAAAGTGGAATTTACCTTCAAGTCTAGCCAGCCTAATTAATACATTGTTTGAGAATGTTGGCCAGCTAGGCCAAATAGTGTATTTCCACCAGTAACAGCCTTAGCGAATCCCAGAAGTCATTTCAGTATCATTGACTTGTGGGGTGTGTGTGTGTGTGTGTGTGTGTGTGTGTGTGAGAGAGAAATGCTTCTATATATGAAATAGAATAATCTTGCTTTAACAGAAAGAGGAAGAAGCTCTGTAACCATAGAGCTGTTTGGTTGAATTCTGTACTCACTTGCTGGCTGTATAACCACTGTTAATTTAACCACTTTGAGCCTCTATTTCCCCGTCTGTACAATGGGTCCGACAGTACCTACCTCATAAGGTTGTGGATAGGAAATAATACCATCCGTTTAAAAGTGCTTTGCACAAACGAAATGCTCAGCGCCATCCGAGCCCCCTGCCCCTTCCCTATCTGCTCCAAAGCATGTGTGTGTTTCTTTTTTTTTTTAATTAATTTTTATTAGTCTGCATGCTCTCAGCCTAGCAACACTCTTCTGTGTCTCTCCACCAGGGGGCACCCTCCTACCAGGGACCGAGCCCACAGTGGACACGGTGCCCGTGCAGCCCATTCCAGCCTACTGGTATTACGTAATGGCCGCCGGGGGCGCGGTGCTGGTGCTGGTCTCCGTCGCGCTGGCCCTGGTGCTCCACTACCACCGGTTCCGCTATGCGGCCAAGAAGACCGATCACTCCATCACCTACAAAACCTCCCAGTACACCAACGGGCCCCCTCTGGCGGTGGAACCCACCCTAACCATTAAACTAGAGCAAGACCGCAGCTCGCACTGCTGAGCGCCGAAGCAAGGACAGCACCCAATCAAACAAGAAAGACTGCAAACACGTTGCCTCGATTTTGCACTTTTTCTCCTCGCCTAGTCTCTGTGCGAACTCTCAGACATCTCTCTCTCTCCGAGCGCGGACCCTGTGCGCGCTCTCATCCATCCCGGGCATTCTCCTTGCGTTCATTTTTTGTTCCTTTTGTTCATTCCAAAACAACAGCCCCCGACTCTAATGCTGCATCTTGGAATATGAGAAGAGATACACCCCTAAGTACTTCACAGCTCAAGGCTCAGCTGGTTTTCTTCCAGAGACTGGTTCCCCGCTTCCCCTTGCCTTACCCCACACTCCTCTTGGTGGACAGTCTGCCAGGAGACTTGAGGGGAAACCTGCATCTGTGTGCTTGTACATAGTAAACGTGTGTGTGTGAAAAGCTCAGTGTGTGTGTGTGTGTGTGTGTGTGTGTGTGGTGGGGGGTGAGAGAGATTGGTCATTGTTGAGGGGAGTGTGTGGGTGTGTTCCGAGAAGAACCCCTTTCACTCTTGTGTTACTTCTCCGGGAGTACATTTTACAAGAAAATAATATACTGTACTAGTTTTGTTTACTTGGAGAAGAGATCGAAGCTTTTTGTTGCCTTATCTAGAGCTCTGGCTGGGTTTCTGTTGGCTACCACTGTCATCTCCAGGAACCTAAAAATCTAGTGGCCACATGAAGTGAAATGTGGCCCCTCCTATCCCCTGTCCCCTTTCCTTACTCCCCCCCCCCCTCCACCCAAGGGGAAGGTTCCCCAGGGCACTCAGACACTCAGACCGGACCACTAGTCTCATGGCCTGGTGTCTTTGAGATAACACACCGTTGGGTGCATTGGGAACCATCTCTACTTCCAACCCTAAAGCAAATCTGTTTCATGTTGCCTTATGAAAGATAAGCTCATAATGAATGTTTAGCTTTTGTCAGTTAAGTCCAATCTTGGAGTAAGTCATAGAGAATAACCGATCTGAGAATGATGTAGGAAAAGCAGTAACTCGTTTAAGTTGAGAGGGGGGTGGGGTGGGGGGTGACGGAGAGAAGGAAGGGGGAGGCAGAACTGAAATGTTGTCTTTTAAAAGTCTTCTCCCCCTGAGGATTCATTGTGTGCAAGAAGGGTAAAAGCCCTACTCTTTGGTATTATATTGGTCATTGTAATAACATTTGTAAGATGTGAGGGAAGAGGCCATGGCTCTCCTTCTGTGGTGTTAGTTGTGCCTGAAGTTCTAGCTGCTAACATTGGCGGCTGCCCCCCTGACTTATTTAAATATCATGGGAGAATAAAAGTAATCGTTTTGTAATGTATCAGTGTGCTGCCCCTTAAAGCATTCTTGGCATCTGGCAAATAAACCCGCCTAGGCTGGCCTGGCATTTCCAGTTATTGCCGCATCATCAGAAGGTATAATGAAGATAAATCCATGGCTACCCAGTTGTCCTCTCTAAAAGGGGGATGGGGTGTGAGTGATGAATTGCATAATGACATGCAATTTACCTTTCGTAAAGGGTAGATCCAACAATGAAGTCGATTTTGTTGATAGAAAATGTGTATTTTAACGAGGTTCTCCGGGTACTGGCTCAGCCTTGGGGTGTATGTCTCACCTTCCCATCCCATAGGACTCCTGGAGAAGTACAAGTTTCTCTCCTAAGGTGGTGGCCTGGGCTGGAAGCCTCCAGGTACCTTCTGAGAGCAAAATACTAATGATTTTTTTTTTTGACCGCTTGAGCGAGAGACTTCTAACATTCTTTCAGAATATCCACATAGATTCCTAAAACACACACTCACTTTCGCATCTGGCTTATCTCATCCTCCTGAAGGAACGGTGCTCTCCCACTCTTACTTGATTTCAAAGAGCTACTCTGTCTTAACCACAGCAGCCCTGCCAAGAAAAGAAAAGATGAAAGGCTAGATGAGCTACCTTAAGGTTTCAAGAAGTGTCCTACCCCAGCTGAAGATGGAGAAGCCAGGGGAGGGGGAGGATACATAGATGACCCTGCCCCCACCCTCTTGCCAGTCTCCAAGGGCTTTGTACCTCAGTTTCCACATCCAGTTGTGTTTGGGGTCAGACCTTCCCACAAAATGATTGACATGACACCCCTGTAGGCACTTCATACAGGTGTGGTGCCAGGAAATTACACCTGGAAAACCCAAGCCATATACCCTTGAGGAGTTCCCTTCCTGTAACAACGACTTTGTGAATTTGCTGTCTTTATTGGATGCCCCCTGGGGCATCCTCTTTCTGCACATGCCATGGAATATTCAGCTACTGAATTCTTTGTGAATCCCATAGTGCACTTCAGCTGGGGATGATACACTTTCTCTCTTTTTTCCTCTCTCTCTCTCTCTGGCTCTCTCTCTCTCTGCTCTCTCAGCCCCAGCAATGTTCTTAGTATTATCTAGGCAGTATAGTAAAAGGGAAACTCTTCTATAAAATTTCATGTCATGCAGCTGTAAAAAAGCAAAATTCCGTATTTCATGTGGGAGGGAAGAGTCACTCTTCTAAGAAAAATAGCCTGGACAGGTGAATGCATGCATGCATGTGTCTAGAATTGCTTCTCAGAAGACAAAGAGGTGATTGCAACTATTCAAATATGAATGAATGAATGAATTGAATTGAAGGTCTAGCTTGGGTTGGTAAAGTTTTTGCCTTAGAGATTTTATGTCAACAGCTCCAGGAGGGAAACCTTTATCTCTGGGGTTAAAAAAAAAAAAATTCCCTCCTTGATATTATTATGATCTCCTAATTGCAGTGCAGGCAGGGAAAAAAAGGGAAAAAATAATACCATTGCCACTAAAAAAAAAAACAGGATGCTGAAAATAAAATAAAACTGTCTTTTCCCTTGTCCCACATTTTTGGGATTAAAGCCAGAATAGGATAGGAACTCCAGTAACATTTCTGAGGTTGATAACACCTTTTTAAAAGAACCTGTAACTAGCAGGCAAACAAACACCTAAATAATCAAAAATTACCAAAGAACAACAAGAAAACTTAAAAATGTTTGCTTCCTATTCTTATTCCCCCTCCTCTAACTGTGACATCTCTTGCATTGCCTGTGTGTCAAAATAACTTGTGGATGTTGGAAACTATTTGAAAATGTATTGTGTGGAATGTAATAAAATGATGATATTTTTATACAAACATCTGGGTTTTTTCCCCCCTTTGCCTGTAAGAACAAAGTGGAAATGTCGGCTTTGAGCAAACTGATGCTTCCAAAGCTTTCCACAGTGTCTTCTGAGCTACTGAGCATTTCTGTGGGAGAAAGGTGGGTTTTCTCCTTGAGGCTCAATGGCAGCCTATTCTTCTTGGATTTTTATTACTGCTTGTTAGGAGTTTGATCCAATTTGTGCAGCTGAGCCAACTTTTATGATTGGTGTGGGATTTTGCACAAGTTGCTAAGTGCTAAATTGCTCGATGTGATTCCACAAAATTTCTCTTGATGGCAAACCCCTGGAGATTAGATTACTTGCAAAGGGGTGCAGAGGGGTGTGGCCAGCAAAGCTGAATCATGCACTGGCTGGGGCGATGGAGGGAGCTTGCTCCTTTGGAGATGAAGCCGTGACATCTTACCGAGCACCTACCAAACAAGGTCTTCAGACTTCATCCTGGAGCAAGGCGAGAAGTTAATTATCTGATGACTGTGAACCTGCAGTCTTTGCAGTGTTTTATGAAAGGACTGTTCTATGCAAACATTGAGGAGAGGAACTTAGGGAGACTGTCTCCAAAAGTGACATCTTGCTTGACAATAACTTTCCACTGGTTCTCCTCTTCGGATTGCTAGTGACCCAGTTATATAAAATATTTTCATTTTAGGGTAGGGGGGAAAAATCTCAGAAATTTAGCTTCCAAGGTTTTCAGTGCTTCTGGGTGGTGGTCAGGATAGTCCATTGCCCCCACTTATGGGGTGTATTAGGGACATTCCATCAACCTGGGAGCTTTCCTGAAGGACCTGAAAACTGATCTGGAAGGTCCCGAGAAAAGAATCTGTCAGAAGATCCTACTTTTGTGAGCGTCCTACTTCTCTTCCTGCCTACACCTAGGTCCAGGAAGGAGTATGTCACTATAAAGCCAAACTAAATGGAGCTGAAAGGAAGTCAACTTCTGGGTTCAGAACTCTCAAAAAGCTCTTGTACAGGTGACTCAGATTAGCTGTCACTCCACCCCTGCGGGAGACCAATGTGTCCCTGCTCACTGCATGGTTTGTTCTTCTAGTGACAAGCACTCTTACCTATTTTTCTCTAAATACCATTTGACCCTCCTTAAAGTCCTATGTTCTTATTAGGATGAGTTGGAAATGGAAGCATATCAGAATTACTTATTGCAAGCAGACTCAGTCTCAGGCAACATTTTCCTGAGCTGGTCTGGGACCAGACTTGCCGGACAAAAATTAAATTAGCCACCCGTATGCTTCATTAACATGACTGTTTTTGGAGACACCTTTGAGGATTTCATCAATGCATTTCCCACCGTGGTTCTAGTCCCACTACTTATTCTGGAGTTACTCTCTCTTCCCCCAAAGGCAAAGACTGTTAGGGCTTTAATCTCGGCTGTCAAACACACCATGCTCTTGTCAGTGTGATATTTTAAACCTAGTCCAAGCATAAATGTTACAAAAATTTTGTTTCCATGGACCATAAATACCAGATGTCAAGGCCCAGAATGGTCTGTTTTGGCCCCTGCCCACCCCATCATGATGGTTGAAATGTGCATTTTTGCTGCTGAAGCAAGACGCTGCCCTCTTCGCCCAGATAACACAGCCCGCACAACCCCTGAGCCACTGTGTTTGTTTCCCTCACTCCCTTTACCAACTCAGCGGTTGTTTTGAACAAATGCTGTGGCCTTTCTGTAATCTTTGATAAAAAGAACTTCATTTTTAAGTTTTGACATGTCTGTACTGCGGCCACACATCTGAGCAAACTACAGATCTCGCTTTAATTGTGCACATCCACGGCTCTCACAGTGAAACTTGCCTTTCATCCACTTCAGCAAGGGCCCAAAGAAAACACAAAACAAATCCGACTGGAGCAAAAGGTGGGGAGAGGGGAACACAGGCTGATAGTCTTACAATCGGCAGGGAAAAGAATCGCCTTGTATAAATATATTTAAAGCGAGGAATAGTGTAGGTTTTAATTAAATCAGACATAGATCAGCCTGTATAGAAGTCAGATATGATCAAAAATCTGTACCCTTAAGTCATCAGGCCTCGGGCCTCAACCAGGGTCTGTTTACAATAACTGTATAGAGAAGTTCTCTTTGGCTCAAAACCTGCACACTGAAGAGATACAAGAGTTAGGCAGTTGCCAGCGAACAAAAACCCACCGAACATGGTGTGGAACAATGGAGAATCTAGACAACCAAAAGGAGTCATTCTTGCCCAAGTCAAGTGGACACAGAATTATTCTCTTCTCTTCTGGAATAAAGTAATAGTTCTTGGGTTTTGCTGTTATTGACCTCCAAGAGCCCCCAAAACTAACTGGCCTCACAGGCACCAGACCAACCAATAGGAAAGATTGCTTGACCAGTGACAGAAGTAATGGAAGTGGGCCTGGGCGTTGAGTAGGGGAGCACCTTTTTTTTTTTTTAAGATTTATTTATTTATACAGAACTGGAGTACAGGCCAGAGATGTGGAGGGTGAGAGGATTCACCAGGAACAGAGTGGGGAGCAGAACAGGCAGATCGACGAAGTACACTGCTGAGGGGAGCAGTGGGTGGGGCAGGAGAGGTCTGTCACGCCTTGTGGATCTCCTCCGGGGCAGGCGGGGGATCGAACTCATGCGGAAGTGGCTTAAGCTTCTTAGTGCTGTGCTTTAACCCGCTGCGCCACCAGGGAGGGCCCGGAAAGCACCTTTTTGAGGAGCCATGACCACAGTTATACCTAGAAGGAGGCTATTGGAGCACATTTTAGCATAGTAATAACTGGCTGGGTGTCTCTTTCAAATTTACACTACAGCATTCTCAAAAAGTACAAACAGCACATTTCTCTTTCATCAATTCCATTATCTTCCCAAGAGGTAATCATGAGAGAAGGTTTGAGCTACTGACTCCCAGGCCTTATTTTATACGTTTGTAAGTGTACATGTTTATGTCCAGTTGTGTGAGCTTCTTTACTTGTGACTGCATTAGGTTCTGTGTAGATGGTGTTAGCATTTGCTCACTTGCTTCTCTTCACTGGACAGAGTCTTGAGGGTGCTTCAGTACACGCTGGTAGATGTATTGCACGCTTTTCGGCGGTTACATTGCAGCCTGCGACATGTACAGGACCCAGCATAGATTGCTTCCCTACTGGTGGGCATCCAGGCTGTAGTTTGTCGCTGTTATAAACAATGCTGGAAAGAACGTCCTGCAGTTACCTCTTAGTCACGTTTCTCTAGAATAGAATTTCTGTGTCCGATAGTGTGGCCCTTTTCATTGGAGTAAAGGCTTCAAATGGCGGAGTTTTAAAGTGAACCTGCCCTTTTTGAAAAAGATAAACTCACAGACATCCTGGCGTATACCTGGTGTATTTTGCCCTCTACCCAAACCCTATAACTCTATGACTGTTTCTCTAAAGTGGGCATAGTGCTTGCACGAATATTTGGGAGAGTTTTAACTGAAGATAACATTCATGACAGGGATTTTTTTTTTTAAATCCCTATTTATAGAGAATGTAGGCCTGGTTGGAAGTGACAGCTCACAGGCCAGTGGCTGCTATGGCACAGGAGTTAATTCTATCCCTGGTTTCCGCAGGCAGAGCCCTGTTCTCCATGATTAATGAGTTCCACTTGGTTTCTTCAAAGAGTAGCTCTGCTGTGCCATGCTCTTATTTATTTATGTTTTCTACTAAAAAATGCATGTGAAAAACCTCCTTTAAGGTCAGTGCACCAGGAAGGTGCAGACTAAAGTATTTCAGCAGCCACAACAAGCCCTACATGCCGGAGAAAGTCTCATGGCCTCGCAGCCTATGACCAGGCCCCTGCTGTCCCTTCGGGCTGAAGGGGGAAGGTCCAGGGCTAATGTGCACCAAGGAAAAGCAGCAAGCAGCAAGGTCATTTCTTAGTGGGAAGTTTATATGTGCAGGCAAACTACCAGCCCCCACTCCGGGCCAAAGATAGCGAGTAGAAGAGAAGCCGGGGCCTGTGGCTTGCAAGCATCATTTATTCCTGGAGAACCAGCTGGTTTCTGTGGTGCACTAAGACAAAGTGCTCATGGTGCTGTGACTTGGAGAAACTGGATCGTCGATAGGCTTTGTGGCCTGCCGAAAATCCCAAAGTGCTAACTCTTGGACATGGGACTTAGGTAGATACTTGGATGATTCGGTAAAGAAAGCAGCTTGAGGGCCCTCCCTGGTGGTGCAACAGGGTAAAGCACAGCACTATGAAGTTAGCTGCCACAGTTTCATGCAAGTTTGATCCCCGGCCAGGGAGGTGACCCACATGGCATGGCAGACCTCTCCTGCCTTGCCCACTGCTCCCCTCAGCGGTGTACTTTGTCAATCTGTTGTTCTGCTTCCCACTCTTGTCTCTGATGACTCATCTCACCACCCCTGTACCTCTGGCCTGTACCCTAGTTCTGTATGCACAAATAAAGAAACCTTTAAAAAAGGAAAGAAAGCAGCTTGAGCAAAAGTGAGGTGAGGTAGAAATATGTACACACACATACACAGAGACCTTATTTTGTCTACTTTTGTAATTGTGAAAAATTGAACCTTTTTAAGAGCATGAACTCACACAACCCAAAGCAAAGGCTCTGATCCATATTGGAACAATAGTAGACCATGTTTTGACAGCACATTTTTCTCAGGCCGCAATTATTCATGAACAAGACTAGAGTGCAAGAATTCATGAACAAAGCTAGAGTTCTCTGTCACTTTAGGGAACAGCCAGCTGCAGTTATGGTGGCTTTTGAGCTGGACGGGGGGGAAGGATAGCTTTGACCAAATTCTATCCTCAGCCAGCCTGCTGGTTATTGAGGTTTCATGCTAATGCTGCTGTTAAAGAAACTTTTCTTGCCTTTGTGTTTCTTTACTGCTGCCAAGGGGCTGGGAGAAGGTGCATAAAGGCCTCAGAGCCACATGTGCTGTCCCATTTGCTTCTGCAGGGACATTCCTGTAGCTGGACTGGGCGGGAAGGCAGTAGTTAAGCCCTACAAGGGGGCT